CTTCTAAGTTAAGCTTTTGTCAATGGTCACTGCTTTGTCTGATCCTCTCTCTGAGTTCTGATGAGTCATTCCCCTGAGCAATCCTTCTGTTCGGACAGAGTCCATTTCAGTTTTCTGCATTTGGGGGACAAAAAACACCACGACCATTGCACGAGGCTGAGTTAGACCACCAGCTCCAACCTCCTTAGGCTTCAAGCCACTGGGGAAAGACCACCAAGTTAGATATCAGAAAGAGACCCAGGCTGAGTCAGGAACAAGACACCTTGCCTGCCTGTCCTTGCCCCTAAGCCCACCGCCCCAAGGGGAATAAGGAATTCTGATGCATAGTAACGTAGTCCTGGTTTTCACACACACAGATCGGTGGAAGTGAAGGCTGTTGATTGGCGTGTAGGGCCTATGAACAAAACATAAAAAGGTAAAAATTCAGAGTGGCCCTTGGGATGCCAAGGGAGAGCGCTTTTCACCCCCGCTGGGGTCTCATTCACACCCACGGCTTCAGTCGCCACATCTGGGCCAAACATTTCCCAGTCTGTGTCTCCATCCCAGCCTCTCAGAAAGTGTGTCCGGCAAACATTTCTGCCCGGATGACCACAGTCCCAGCAAACTGCACATGTTGAAGACGAAAGTCATTATCTTTTCTCGAAGCGGGCCCCTCCCCAGGCGTTCCCCACCTCAGGGAATCGCCGGCGCCAACGCAGTCACTCTAGCCAGAGCCTGAGAAACCCTCTGGACGCTTCTCACCCTCTCCCCCATCCGTCCACGCAGTCAGCACGTCCTGCCCGTCCCGCCTCTGCTAACCGCTCCCACTCCCGCCACTGCCGTCCCAACGCAGGCCGCTCCTCGTCCTGCCCGGAGCACTGTCCTGGTCTCGAATTTGTCCCCGGGTCCTCGCTCAGGCCCCCTTCACGCCACACAGCCCCGCACCCTCGGCGTCCTTCGGAAACACAGATCGGATCACGATGCCCTTTGCACGAAACCCCCAGCAGCACTGCGCTGCCGCCGGTGGAAGATTAAACCGCTCGCCCTTCGCGATGCAGCTTCCACTCACCACGCGGCCCCGTCTCTTGCGAGTCTCCCCCGAGCGCTGATTCCAGCCGTGTGGAACGCTGCGCCGCTCCCCGCGTCTTACAGAGCTTTGCTCATTTCCTGGCCTTGACACATATGGTCGCCACCTTTCTCCTCTTTTCCCTTTCCCTCCTCCCCTCGTCCTCCTCTTCCTCCTCCTCCTCCTCCAACACTACCACCTTTCTCTTCTTAGCTTGTTACTGAAATATAAAATGCATGCGGAAAAGTGCACGCGTCCCCTGTGTACAGCACGATGAATTTTCTCAAATGAACACACCCATATAACCGGTGCCCAGATCAGGACCCCAAAAAGGCTCAGTATTGCAGAAGCCTCCCTCACACTGCTTTGCTCTACTCGCCAAGAGAAATCACTTCCCTGACTTCTAATAACAGTGGCTAGTTTTTTACTTGTACTTTTTATAAATGAACACCTAGTCTGAAATGAAAACGTGGCATCAGGTATGTGTTGCTGCATAACACACCACCAAAAACTAAACGGCCTAAAACAACCTCACAGCCCCACCGTGGGCCTCATGGCTCCTCACGGCTGTGCTTTTTCTTCCACTTCATCACCAGGCTCCTTGGAAACTGGGCCTGCGCCCACTGTCCCCGACTGTCCCCAAGTCCTCTCCTTCCTGCACTCTCCACTCTGCTGCGTTCATCTGGACCATCCCCCATTCTTTTTTTTTTTATTATTTCAGCATATTATGGGGGTACAAATGTTTAGGTTACGTATGTTGCCCTTGCACACCCCTCACCCCCTAAGTCCGAGTTTCAAATATGTCCATCCTTCACATCCCCCATTCTTTACTGAAACTGCTCTCAGCAAGGAGGCACGAGCTACCTCCCTGTCGCGGAGCCCAAGGAACATATTTCAGTCTTTTCCTACTTGGCACCTCCTCCACCCCTTAGTTCAGTGAGTCACCAAGTTCTAGTGACTCGCCCTCTTCAACTCATCGAGTATTTGTCCTGCTTCTGTGTCTGCTCATTGTCTCCTGCCTTGACTATTCCAACAGCCTCAAAACTTCCCTCCCTGCCTGCCCCAAACTTCTTCCAGACTTATCCCAACATGGTTTTGGGGATTAAAACGCTGGACTGGCCCACCACCCACCACAGAATAAACATCAAACTGTAGCATGGCATAAAGTCTCTTTAACCTCCAGCCTCCCTCTCTAAACTCTTTGCCTAAGGCCTTTCCCCCCAACCCCGTGCCTGGGTCGCTTTGAATTTGCAGTCTTTTGTGAACCTGCCCTGGGAATTTCTGCTAGGAGGTTCTCTCCTGCCTGATGCCATTGACCCCACCTTTTACCTGCAGATCTCCTCCTCCTTTTCATCCTGTCTCTGATGCCAGCTCCTCTGTAAAAGGGCACAGTTGATGGCTCTTTTTCTGACCTTGCTACTATTAATATTAATACTAAGAAATATCATTATTGTAATAGTCTTGGTTCACACCTCCTAGAACGTAAACTCCTCAGGGCAAGATTTTTGTTTTGTAAACTCATATATCCTAGGCTCTGTGCCTAGCACAGAGTAGTCACTCAACAAACACTTGCTAAGTGAATGAATGAACCCTTAACATTTATTGAGCACTTATTATGCCAGGTGCTTTCATGCATTATCTCATTCCATCCTAAACACAAGCCCTAGGAGGAAAGAACTGTTTTTATCCCAATTTTGCATTGCAGGAAACCAAAGCTTGACAAGATGAAGTAATTTGCCCAAGGTCACACAGTCAACCAATGGCAAAGCTAGGATTTGAACCCTGATTGTCCAAGCTCTAAATAACCCACTTGACTGTCTTTGAGCTTTGTCTGCCGTGGTGCTTTGCACATGACTCTACTGTGGGTCACAGTAGCCCTTAAGCAAATGAAACAATTATCCTGAAGTAGTGGAAGTATCTCTTTACCTGTTTATGTCTGCACCACATTATAAGTCCCTTGAGAATAGGAACTGAGTCCTAGTTATTTTATTCACCAACCCGCCCCCCCGACCCCAAGCAGTCAGCACAGTGTCTTACACATGTTTGTGTTCACTAAATGTTTATTGAATGAAATAATGGATGTGCTGTTAACAGGCAGCATTTGGCAGTGCATTGTTTTTGCACTATCAGTAATTTTAAGGACTGTCCTCATGGTTGCCCTGAATCCAGCCCCAGCTGCTGCCTCTTCCAACCCTTTGCTTCTTCAGCACGATGTAGGCTCAGGGCCACCCCTGGCTGATCCACCCTCCACCCTGACCCCGGCCCTTTGCCATCCTTCCTGTCTTCGTGAAATTCCCCGGCCGCTCTTCCTGCCCTTGGAGGCCGATCACGCAGAGCAAGTTCTACCCCACCCTCTCCTCTTCTTAACCCTGCGCTCTGCTTGAACCCTGCCGCTTCTCTGGTCATCCTTGACAGGCAGGGCAACGTGACATTTTTGTAGATAACTGTAACACAGAGTGGATTGTGATAAACAGAGACAGTCACGAGGCCCTGTAGGAGTTAGAACAGGGAGACATTCCTAGTTAAATGATGGAGAAGCTGGAAATGAATTAAGCCATTGTCTTTTTCACCCTGATTTGTTTTGTTTTTAAATAAAGAGTTTAGCTTCTCTAGGGAAATTTCTTATAAGGATACAGAGTCTCTAGGAACTCAAAGGTTGGAATGCCGCCAGGCCTCAGGGAGAAATAGATGCAGAACCAGAAAATAGTTTGGAATGTCGGCAGCTTTTTCTTTCCATGTCTGGTCTTCATTGTCTCTGTACATTTGCTTTGTTCCTGCCTCTGAGTGGCCCTCTTCTAGTCCACCGACCTCATCATGGGACGTGGCTGCCAATGGCAACCAAGTTTATATGTAGAGATACTGACCGGCTGTCAAAATCACACATCTCCGGGGAAATCTACCTGATTGGCCCAGCATGAGTCAGGTGCTCATCCCTGGTCCAATCATCTGCTGCCATTGAACACGGACATGTTGTACGACATGGCTGCCAGGCAGCCGTCTCTGTGGATGAGGAAGTAGAAAGGATCATTGTAAGTCGAGCAAACTCTAAAAATGTCCACTACCCTTGGTTCTGTTGTCTGATAATGTTTTTGTAAAAGAATTCTGGATGCTTCCTCAGGAGTAAAGCAAATCAAGAGGCTTTTTATCTTTGAAATTCTTTTTCAGAAACAAATACATAAATGTGGATTGCCAATTAGCAATATCACCCTGATTAACTAAGACGATGTTCCATCAGTAATTTCCAACAGGGTTTTGATGCCGGTTTTGTTCATTGAAGGCCTAGAGTCCTGGCTTCACCTAGTGCCCCACACACAGCTGTGTGGCCTGCTAGGCTGCAGTGGGGGAGACAGTTATGGGATAAACCCAGCAGGACCTTTCTCCCTCCTCAAGGTCTCACACACATGATGTCCACACCTCCCCTTCAGCAACTACAGTTCTATGCCCTTTCTAATAAGCCATTGTAATCGGGACTGGGGAGATAGAATTCTTTCCCTTCAAGGATTCCATGCCCTGATGAATTTTGAGAAAGCTAACCATGGTCACATCTTGCTTAATTTGATTTGAGGTCGGGAGAGAGGAAACAAGGATAGATCCTTCTTTCACTTTTGTCTGGCCTTGCCCATTCAAGGATCCTTCAATTTAAGTCCAGGTAAGGATAATCTAAAAAGTTTATCCAACTCAGAAGTGGGAGAGCTGGATTCAGGTTGCTCAAGACAAATCCAAAACTTCATGTCCGTCCTTCCTGGACTGGGCCCTCTTGGCACTGCTATGCTCCCTGCAGCTGGCACAGAGGATTACATGGGGCACAGGCCCACAGAATGGGTGTGACAGCCCCAGGCTGTGGTGAGGTGATGCCAGGGCTCTTGTCCTGAAGAATGTACCCGTGACTCTTCTCCTGAGGCATACTGTATTCTGCCCAACCTTTTCAGTGACATCTCCCTGTCTTGTCTTCCAGGCTCCCTGGGTACAGCAGGCCGTGTGTGCAACCTGACTTCCCGGGGCATGGACAGCTGCGAAGTCATGTGCTGCGGGAGAGGCTATGACACCTCCCGTGTCACCCGGATGACCAAGTGTGAGTGTAAGTTCCACTGGTGCTGCGCTGTGCGCTGTCAGGACTGCCTGGAAGCCCTGGACGTGCACACGTGTAAGGCCCCCAAGAACGCTGACTGGGCGACCCCCACATGACCCCAGCAGAGGTCACCATCCACCTTCCCTCCTGCAAGGACTCCATTGGATCTGCAAGGACGCTGGACCTTTGGGTTCTCTCTGGGGGGATGTTTCCTAAGGCATATGGCCTTTGTCTCAACAGAAGCCCCCTTTTCCTCCCCGGGGCCCTAGAACTGGGGGCCACGTGCTGCACATAAAGCATATCTTATTCTGTCTGTCTTCCTGCATTCTGGGGGACCTCTCTTCCTAGTGAGTTCTCTTTGGAAAGGGCATGACAGGCTGTTCCAGGGGGAGGCTGGCAGGCCCAGACCACTGTCTCCATCCACCTAGACTTTTCCTCTTTCTAGAGCAATTGGCCAGGCAGAAAAAAGAGTGTCTCAAAGGAGCTTTCTCTATGTCTTCCAACAAATGCTCCCAGTTAAAAAATTCCATACTTCCCTTCGATGAATAAAGAAAGCACAATCAACTGCCACTGAATTAACTTTAATTCTTGAGAAAACCAAGCAAGGCTTTTGTCTGATCAAGTGTTTTCATAGCCACCAGCCCCAGGGGCCATTGGTCATTGCCTGGAGAAGGATGGCTTTCAATAAACTTCAGGTTTAAAATGCATATTTTCCAATAAATGCCCACAAATATGGCCCTTATTGCCATATTAAAATCTGATGTAGCAAGGTGAGAATGTGTGTCCTTGGGTACAGTGGCATGTTCGGTCTTCGCAATAGCAAAAGCCTCAGAAAGCGACTGCTCTGCATTACCATCTCTCGATATAAAGAATCTTTAGGGGATGAGACCTCCTTCTCACTTAGGATCTGAAGGGAATTAAAAGAAGTTGGACGATCTGACAGCATTCTCTAACTGTTGGGTGAATATGGCAGAAAATAATTCAGTGCGTGGAATATCAGAAAATGTGTCTGTACAGATAAAGAAAAAAGAGGAGAATAAAATTCCTATCTGGTATTTTGCATGTGACCCATGGCATTTTGTAACTGAAATGACTTCAAGAATGAAAACTTGTGGGATGACAAGACCAGTGAACTAAAATGCTGACAGAGAGGTTTCCAGAGCTAAATCACGCCTGGGGCAGCCTTTACCGTCAGCAGATGCCTAAGAGAAGTCAGCCACGTGTGCTGAGAGCAGCAACCAGTGCCCATCACCCTTCAAACACTTTTTAAAGACCTGTCATGTTTAATTGTATTTATTCAATGCTTACAAGATGACGTGATACTGTAGCCTAAAGCAAATGACACATAGCTTTGCTTATAAACTTGGTAATCCTCCCATATTATGTTGCAAACAAATCGTAACTTGGAGACTATATTTAAGGGACACAACTGTAATTATGGGAACATCAGTATGCAAATAGTGGTTGGCTTCTGCCATCAGCCAAAAGACGACATTCAGGGAAAATGGAGAGGCTGCCTGCACCATTTTTTATATTAAATGAAAGAAAGGTGAAATAGACGAAGCTACTTCTCGTTGTCTTGAACAATTCAGATCTTATTCTATACATGATTTCCTCACAGGGCTACATTAACTAACAGGATAGTTCGTTATATGCATCTGGTGTCAAATTACTGATGTTGGCTCATTTTTTAACACATTGGCCTTCAATTTCTCTGTTCTTGCTTTGCAGTAGGTCATTTGGACTGAGGTTCATGGAAAAGAACCTGCTGGAGTACTTTGTCATGATTGATATTTGCCTCCTAATCTTCTTAAAGATGACAGAATTTATCTCCTTTCCTTCACTCCCAACCCCTAAATTAGTTGTCTAACTTTTCCAAAGTGACTCTTTCCTCTTTTTCTTCTATGGATTCAGAGGGCGGGAACAGTGGGGCATGACAGTAGCTGCTCTAAACTTAGTGTGGGGTTAGGCCGGGCACGTGGCGCCAGTCAGCCTTGGTTACTTGGTGCGAACGCCTTCATGGGAGGACGAAGGCACTTGCGTGGGGATCCTGAAGCCATCAGCTCTTCTTCCTGCTAGATGGATGGACCGCAAAGTCATAAACCCATGGATACGTTTAGAATTGGAAAGGGTCTTAGATGACATTTCAGCTCCCCTCAGTTTGGGGAAACTGAGACCGAGGGAGGCAAAGGGATCCCTACACATATCAGCTGTTTCCCAGGTCTCCATCACAAATGGGGCCACACTCTGGGAGTATTCGAGAAAGCTAAGCACTTTATCCGTTAAACGAAACTAGTTCCCTCAGGATTAATTCAGTGGATTCTAAATAATTCGAGCTTCCAATGACATGTTCATTGCTTTTGTATTCCTGTGATGTTTAGATCTTTCTTTTTATGCTGAAATGCATCCCTCCTGATAGGTAGCAAGGGGACAAGGCATATCCCTGTAGAAACCTACATAAATTGTCCTCATCTATAAGGGAGACTATGGCAACCATCGCAGGTGGCAGTGGTTCCTGCCACTGAAGAGGGCAAAATGAGAGGGTGAAATATTTTTACGTGTTTTTTCTTCTGAAAGAGAAAATTTCCATTCTATTATTTGGGGAAAAAAAAAAAACTTTAAAAAAAAAGATAATTTCAAATTCAGTGTACTTAGGGCTTGGTGGAGGATCAGTATTCCAGGATTCTGAAATACACGGAACTCCTGATTACCTGAGGCTTTTAAGGAAATGTATGGCATGAATTACTCAAAACAAAATAGTGGGAAAATCCATTCAGGTCAAATCCCCTTACGAATTCCCTCCTAATAAAAAAAATCTTATTATAAATGAAAGTTCTGTAGTTCCAAGATATTGCTCATTAATTTTCTGCAAGATCCAAAAAAGGTCCCACACTAGGAGATATAGACTAGTTCCCTGGAGTTTTCTACAATAAAGATATAATCTGCAGGTAACTCTGAGACTTAGCATATGAGTTGCTTTCTGCAACAGATTTGCTTCCCTAAATTGGTCTGTGGTGCTGACTGGTGTTTGTCTGTATTCTCAGAGGACACTTTGGCAAGGTGCATTCTGGTTACAGCATCCTGTACGGCCCCGTCATGGTCTGAAAGAGTGAACACCCCGCCTTAAAAGACCAGTTTATCCCCTCGAGTGGCTTAAGCTCAAGCACAAAAGCCCCAGTGCCATGACCACACTCTGCTCTGGCTCTGTGCCCCTTGGGGACAAGGGCCTTCCTTGGCATGTTATTGGACTACAGATGCTTCAGGGTGGAAGTAGGAGAGGCGCAGGGCACCCCAGAGCACTAACTATCTGCTCTCACTTATCTGATGTCACCAAATTGAAACAGACATCTGAAAAGAAGGATCCAGCCTGTGGCAGTTCAGTCTGGGTGGGGCCAGATGACGGGAGGGGACATGAGAGGGAAAGAGCTGGGTGCTTTTGCCAGGTGACTGGCCGAGCTTGGTGATCACAGGCATGGCTTTTTCTGCTCTTGTTGGTAACCCCCACCCTTCTTCCTGCCATTGCTTCTCTGTCCCCGAAGCCCAGCACCTACTTCTTGGGGCATCGTGAGGCCCATGGGGCTCAGGGCTCCAGGTCATGGCTCGGACGGGCCACACCTGCTGCATAGCTCTGTTCCAGGTGGCCAGCATTCATTTCAAGAGGTGTTTTGAAATTGTCACAGCTATATTCCTTTTTATTAGAATTATTACAAAGTCTAAAAAAAATTAGGTATTGCATTTCTTTTTCAAAGAAGGTAGCTTTAAAGTCAGAAAATCCAGTTCTGGGCCATATTAATTTATTAAGGAGCCTCACATTGACTTCACGAGACCTAAAACAGAGCTGTCTCCAAAGCGGCCAACATGACCGTGCAAGCGCCCTGCTTGCCGGCTTTTTCGGGTCAGGATATTGTTATTACTTCTCAGTTATTAAAAGCTGGCTCAGGGCTGGTGTTGTCTCGCTCAGCTGAAAAACATTCATCTCCCCTCTCGCCAGCTCTCAAAATAAAGGCTCAGAGAGGTGTCCAGTGGACCAGAACCATTCCTTTGTGTCTCTTTACTGTACTTCAACCTGGGTTCCCTTATCTTAAGAGCAAGACTTGTACTCAACAAACAGACCTTGCCAGTTCCAAAGCTGGTAAATAGCTTTTGTCAGGTCTGTGCTGAACTTCTGAAAAGCAATCTGCCGGTGTGAGCTGACAGCTAAGCCCTGCTGCTTTTGACCTTCTCCTTACCTAGGCAGAGAAAATTTTCACTCATCCATGAGAATGTTCTTTACATTTTTCTGGGGATCAGCAAGGTGACAGGTGGTTTGCAAAACCCAACATGATCGTTATTTTTCTAAATCAGTTGTTCCAGCTCTAGCTTCCCCCCCCCAATATTCACATGGATTCCTGTGTAACCAAACCTCCCACTTCCACAAGCTAATAAAAGTGTCATGCAGATTGTTACAAAGAACTATTGTTATTTACAAGTCTACGTTTTCTGTGAAATCAAAACATAATAAAGTGAATTTTCAGTGTTAACTTTGTTATTTTAAACTCATGATAGTCTTGCCAAACCCTCTGGTGAAAAGAAACCCCTGCAGGTTGTGGGAACTATTCCCTTGTCTTTTCTCAGGACCACGCTTAAAACAACCTGATCACAAGGCATCTTTAAAGTTTGTAAAGATTTTCAGGGAAAGCAACTCACCTACCTTACTGATAACCATTCTTGAGAATCGATGGGTGAGACATATTAAAAATAGAGAAATTATGCCAAATTTTCACCCTGTGGTTTCCCATGGGTACCAGCAAAGTGCTTGTCCCCTTGGTGCTAGCATGCTTTGACAGTGTTTATAAACTCGGTGTCTCTACCCGGCAGCTAACTCACTCCCGTCGACGTCACTGAATTATTGCTTTCTCTGTAAGGGCTCACTCTGGGCTGAAATGGCGTTTTCTCAGCTTGACAAGAAACATACGAGATGTCTTGACCAGTTATTGAGATCTGGTTGTGTGGGCTATTTATATCAATTGGTGGAGGCTCAGAAAATGAAGTTCATGTGCAAATAGGTCAAAGGGAAAGAAGAAGGAAAGAAAGAAAGACAGAAAGAAAGAAAGAAAGAAAGAAAGAGAAAGAAAGAAAAGAAGGAAAGAAAGAGAGAGAGGAAGGAAGGAAGGGAAGAAGGAAGAAATATAGAAAAAATAAAGAGTTATAGTAGAGAAATTTTAAAAAAGAAAAATTATTCAGAAATAAAATAAAATGGGAATGAACTCTCCTCCAGCAAAGGAAACCCAACCCTCCACATTTCTCTTTCCTGATGAGCTGTTTTGGGGTGATCTCACTAAGCAAAGCACTGGTTCTGTGCTTCAAGCACCCCAACATGGTCTTGTAGTTGCTCACTGTCCTCTAGGATTCCATCATTCCTTCTAGAAACTTCCATACCTACTTGGATGATCTGAAAAAGAAGTGGCGATTCAAGTGTCTGTGTGTGTATGTGGTTTTTTGGTTTTTGGTTTTGAGATGGGGTCTGGCTATGTTGCCCAGGCTGGCCTCAAACTCCTTGAGCTCAAGCGATCCTCTCACTTCAGCCTCCTGAGTAGCTGGGACTATAGGTATGCACCACCATGTCCAGCTGTGTGTATTTTTCAAAGGACATTTCCCCAAAATATTTTTGTCTAGAAATTGTCAATGAAATCTCCCATCTAACCCTTTGCGCGTGAGGGCTCTACTATACATTGTAAGATGTTTAGAAGCAACTCCCCCAGCCCTCAGGTGTGACAACCAAGAATATCTCCAGACATTGCTGAATGTACCCCAAGGACTGGGGAGATGGGGAGGGTGAAATGATTCCAGGTTGAGAACCATTAGTCTAACATTTTGGGTTAAGTCCTCTCTTAAAATGCAAGCCACTTTCTGTTAGGAGCACCTCACTGGGAGTATTAGTTTAATGGGATTGATTCTCAGAACTAGTGTGTCAGACTACCTAGGAAGGGGTCTTTTGGGGGGAAAAAACCCCTCAGCATCATGGGGCAGAAGGAGAAAGGCTAAGACCTGACTTGAAGCTCACGTGGGCCTGCTCTGTGTGTCCCTGGAGT